AAAAAAAAAATTTACCACATGAAATATTAAGTTTAATCCAATAGAATAATTACAGTAACAACAATAACAATAGAATAATAACAATAGAATAATTGACACTTACCTTTAATGAAGATCTGGTGATGGTTGATGGGATGGGAGGAGGGGAGAGTGTCGAAGTTGTTACTATTTAGAAGGGGAATCCCCTTCCATTAGGACTTGAGGTAGCAAGTCCTTTTCCGGGGTTACTTCCCTTCTTCTGTTAATGCCACTAGGACCAGCTTGAGAGTCACTGGACCTCTGTCGCCGTTCCTTTAAGATTTGTCTAAAATGGGCCATAACATTGTCATTGTAATAGTCACCGGCACGGCCTGCAATAGCTGTGTTAGGGTGATTTTCATCCATAAAGGTTTGCAGTTCAACCCACTTTGCACACATTTCCTTAATTTTTGAAGTAGGCACAATGGAGTCCACAACTGGCATAGGCTTCTCAGGGTTAGCCCCAAACCCTTCAAAATCTTTCTTAATTTCCATACTAATTCTCACCCTTTTTACCACAGGGTTGGCACTAGAAGCTTTCCTGGGGCCCATGGTGACTTATTTTGCAGAAACAAGCATCATAAACAGTGATAATATGGATAATATGGAATGTATCGAATGTATCCTTAGATGCGGGCACGCTGGCTGGCTTGTAAACACTGGCACACATGGGGCAGGTCAGGCCACATGTGGACATGTCTCGTACGAATCGTATCAAATGTCGAGTTTTCCATCGAATGTCGAGGCGAAATTTTTGCGTTAAAATGCATCGAATGTCAGATTTATCAAATGTCGATGCCATTGAATGTCGGGGGTCCACTGTATTACAATAATGCAGCAGTCTGCATAACAGTAAATTTTATTTATTTTTTTATTATCACACTGGCCGATTCCCACCAAGGCAGGGTGGCCCGAAAAAGAAAAACTTTCACCATCATTCACTCCATCACTGTCTTGCCAGAAGGGTGCTTTACACTACAGTTTTTAAACTGCAACATTAACACCCCTCCTTCAGAGTGCAGGCACTGTACTTCCCATCTCCAGGACTCAAGTCCGGCCTGCAGGTTTCCCTGAACCCCTTCATAAATGTTACTTTGCTCACACTCCAACAGCACGTCAAGTATTAAAAACCATTTGTCTCCATTCATCCTATCAACACGCTCATGCATACCTGCTGGAAGTCCAAGCCCCTCGCACACAAAACCTCCTTTACCCCCTCTCTCCAACCTTTCCTAGGCCGACCCCTACCCCGCCTTCCTTCCACTACAGACTGATACACTCTTGAAGTCATTCTGTTTCGCTCCATTCTCTCTACATGTCCGAACCACCTCAACAACCCTCCTCAACCCTCTGGACAACAGTTTTTTGGGAATCCCGCACCTCCTCTAACTTCCAAACTACGAATTCTCTGCATTATATTCACACCACACATTGCCCTCAGACATGACATCTCCACTGCCTCCAGCCTTCTCCTCGCTGCAACATTCATCACCCATGCTTCACACCCATATAAGAGCGTTGGTAAAACTATACTCTCATACATTCCCCTCTTTGCCTCCAAGGACAAAGTTCTTTGTCTCCACAGACTCCTAAGTGCACCACTCACTCTTTTTCCCTCATCAAGTTCTATGATTCACCTCATCTTTCACAGACCCTGACGCTGATACGTCACTCCAAATATCTTGATTACATTAGCCTCATCATTATTCTGCTCTCCAATTGATATTCAATCTTATCCACCTAATCTATTTTTTGTTATCTCATACCGTGACTCTTTCTGTATTCACTTTAATTTGCTCTTTGCACACCCTACCATGATTCACTCCACCAATCTCTGCAAACTTCTCTTCAGCAAAGAGCAGCTGTGGACAACTCCCACTTTGTGTGTGATCTTTATCTTTTAATCTCCAGAACCTCTTTCAAGGACCATCGCATTATTCTCTTACAACCCATCTATAATATGTTAACCAATCGGGTGACCATCATACAGATCTTGTTAAGGCTACTTTTACTGGGAAATGAAATGTCCGTCTTTCCTAGCATACTTAACTTGAACCTACATATCCTTCGTAAGAAAACTCTTCACTGCTCTCAGTAACCTACTCCTACATCATACAGTATGCAACTCTGCCAAATGCCCCCTATCACCCGTCATACGCATTTTCCAAATCCATAAATGACCCACAAAGACTCTTAGCCTTATCTAAAATACTGGTTCACTTATATGGTTTCACTGTAACACCTGGTCCACACACCCTACCTTCGAGAAGCCTCCTTGTTCATCACTATCCTATTCTCCACTGATCTTATCTAATTGTTCAATAAAACTCTACCATGACACTTTACCAGGTATACTGCAGAAGACTATTCCCTATAATTGCACTCTGCTTTTATCCACCTTTGTCTGATACAGAGGATGCGTATGCAGCTCTCTGCCAATCCTAGGTACCTTTACCCTCTTCACATAAGTTATTAAATAATTGACACAACCATCCAAAACAAACCCCAACCTGCTTTAAATTTCTATCTTATATCCATTCAATCCGGCTGCCTTACCCCCGTTTATTGTTACCATGCGCATAGTATACTTCCCCCACACTCTAACTGGCTCTCCTCATCCATACAAGATATTATTCCTCCTTGCCTATACACGAAAGTCACAGCTTCCCTATTTCAAACAATTTAACAATTCCTAACAAATATTCCCTCAATCTTCCCAATAACTCTAACTCTCCAATTTAATAATCTCCTCTCCTATTTTTACATGACAAATCATTTGTCTCTAGGTTTCTATACTGATTAAGTCTCACTCCAAAACTGTTTTCTTATTTTCAACAAAATTTTTTTTATAACACTCACCCACTCTCATTTGCCCTTTTTTTTTTACATTGCTTCATCACTCTCTTAACCCTCTCTTTTTCCCATATACTCCCCCCCCTTTCATCACTTCTACTTTGTAAAAACTTCTCATAGCAACTTTTTCTCCCTTACTACTCTCTTTCATCATCATTCCACCAATCACTCCTCTTCCCCCCGAAACCCACTTTCCTGTAACCACAAACTTCGCTGAACCTCTAACACTACATTTTTAAACCTACCCCATACCTTTTCGACCCCATTGCCTATCTCTCTTTACCCATCTATCCTCCAATAGCTTTTTATATCTTACCCAACTGCCTCCTCTTTATTTTTTATAAACCTTCACCCTCTCTTCCCTGATGCTTTTTTCTCTTGAAACAGAAAATTTTGTGTGAATAAAAATTCCCAAGGAAGCAAAAGTAATGTAAGAGGGCCTGGAGACGTGAATAAAGAAAAGAGAAAATTTTTTTTAGTGCCGGAATGTCTCATTGTTTATTCTGGACCCTATTTTTTAAGTGGCATCTGTTTTAAATTTGTGTGAAATTTGGGCCAAACTGCAATTTCGACCCCTTTATTGGTTTTTGAAATAAAAGAATGGCAGTTTCTTGACTCATTGACAGACTAGAAGCAAAAATTTATTCAGGTAACACAAATACAGTTACTAGATTATATACATAGCAGTGATTATAGAGAACCTAGGAAACCCAAAAAGTCAGACAAATGACTTATTTCAGTACCCGCTTGGGGTTGCCAATATATTTTTGGGGAAATATTTTTTTTTTTCGATTTTTTGTTGGGCATTCATTGAAAATGGGGAATGTATGATGGAAAGATGCTTCTTAAAAGTCAAAAAAAATAAAAAAAAACGAATATAAATAAGGATTTACTTCCACCCTTAGCCCCTCTTTGCATAATTTTTTTATGGTTTTTATTGTTGTATGTGTATTCTTTTTTTTTTGGACTCATTTTTATAGAATGAAATATATTTTCAGAAAAGACATGATTTTGATTGCTTTTTATACAAAAAAAGTACCTTAAATGAGCTCAAAGTACCGGAAAAGTTCGATTTTTGCTCAGCAATTGGTTAATTTTATTAACAGTTCTAACCCCAACTACTCTGTAATCCGGCAAAAAATCAGTAATCCGGCACACTACAGGTCCCCAAAGATGCTGATTTGGAGGAGGCCTGTAATCCTTGGTTAGGGGCCCAATTAGATTATGCTGTAAATTCTGGTCAACCAATACAGAAAAGGGAAAAAATGCTTTGAAAAAGTACAGAGGGGAGACAAACTGATCCCATTATCAAAATCTTCCCTATGAGGATACCGAGGCCCTGAATCTGCACTCTCTAGAAAGGGGTAGAAAGGGGGGGAAAGATGAGGTATATAAATGGAAAAAAGGAAAAAATGAAGGGATGTAAAAAGCGGGGGTGAAAATATCCAGCTAAACAGGACTCCAGCAGTGTTTCAAGTTGGAAAAGTTCAGATTCAGGAAGGACATAGGAAAGCACTGATTTGGTAATAGAGTTGTGGATGAGTGGAACAAACTCCTGAGTACCATCATAGAAGCTAAGACCTTTTGTAGTTTTAAAAATAGGATGGATAAATACATGAGTGGATGTGAGTTAGACCTGACTAGCTTGGGCTACCAGGTCTAGTGCTGTGCTCCTTCCTTAAGTGGAAGTGACCTGACTTAGTGGTCATTGTTCTAGGCCAGGGGGTGGCATGGACCTGCTTTGCATGGGTCAGTAGGCCTGTTGCAGTGTTCCTTCTTTCTTATGTTCTTAAGCCAAAACCTGTGTTCAGTGGGAAACAATATGTGACTTGATAATTAGGACCTGCAGATCCTGTACTATGGTACAGTGTTCACTACATGATTGTTAATCCCAATGACAGGTGCCCCTCAGAGAATGCATCTCCTTCCCAATTTTGCTTCCTCAGTGCCCTTCCTTACAATGTCTACAATAACCCAAAGAGAGTCTTTGTAATAAAATTTTCACCAGTATAAACAGGTTGTAATAAATAGCACATAAATTCTGGTCATCATTGTTTATCTTGGCAAAGAATGATGAGTATCACATTACACTCATGGTCCAACTCCAGACATGATAATTTTTTTTTCAGTTGGATGCACAGTGATGATCAGTGTAACCATAGTGATTCCTGTGTTCATGATTATCGTTGGCTCCCTCAAGATGGATGAGTGCCCTGCAGAGCCTTATATTCCCATATATCTCGTTGTTGGAGGTAAGAACCTGAATACTGTTTGTATTAGTTATTTTATTGAATGATTTTGTGTTCCATAGGTAGTTGGTTGGTAGACAACAAACACTCAGGGAGGAACTACCATCCTGCTAAGTGAGTGTGAAATGAAAACCTGTAATTGTTTTACACAATGTCAGAATTGCTGGCATCTCTTCTCTATCTCATAAACACTAAAGGTGATAGGTACATATTGCTACTTTTACTTAAATCTAGTTCATACTACACATGCAGCTGTACATGTACACAAATATGTGTATACACTCATCTGATTTTTCTAATGGTATCTTCAAAATTCTTGTTCTTATAGTGTTTCCTTTTATCTCCATGGAGAAGTGGGTACGAATTCATTTCCCTTTTAACCATGCATGATGTAACAAGTGACTAAAATGCTAGCAGCAAGAGACTAATAACCATAACCATGGATAAATATGGTGAATATACATTTGCTACATTTAAATCCAAAGACCTTAAGAAACCTTTAACCCTTTCGGAATTTTGGCTGTACTAGTACGGCTTATGCACCAGGGTTTTTGATGTACTAGTACGCATAAATTCTAGCGCCCTCAAATCTAGCAAGAGAAAGCTGGTAGGCCTACATAGAAATAATGGGTTCCTATGGTCAGTGTGCCACAGTATAAAAAAAATCCTGCAAAGCACACAGTGCGTAATGAGAAAAAAAAAACTTTGACCGTGTTTTTGGATAAAACAGCGACTTTGCACTTTATTTTCGTATGGTAATTATTGTTGTTTCTAGTTTTCTCCTGGTCTCCCCCCCAAAATTGTATAGAATGGAAGACATAATTACAGAAATTGAAGATGGTTTTTGGACTGGTTTTACAATGAAACAGTACCTTGAAATTGAGGCTCAAAGTATCAGAAATTTTCTATTTTTACAAAGTTCAAAAGCAAACAAATCATGCCAAGCATCCAAATACATTCACTGGTGGAGTCTAATATTCTTTCACAAGTGCACCGATATTATTTATACCATTCTACACTAATGCAGAAAGCCTGCATAAACAGTAAATCTTATTATTTTGTGAGAATAAAAAAATCAAAGTGGAAAGCAAAAGAATGTAAGAGGGGCCTAAGGACATGACTAATGAACGGAGGAAATGTTATTTTAGTAGCCAGAATGTCTTTCTTGTTTATCTGGAACCACCTATATGGGAAATTGGCATCTTATGAAATTTGTGTGAAATTGGCAAAATTGCTAAATTCTAACCATTTTATTGGATAGTTGAATCCGTAAAATGGGTGTTTCTTGACTCATTTGATAGAAAAATTGAAGTTCTAGTGAAATATATACTTTTGTCGAATAGTACACAGGAATTGGCAGAAATAGGGTTCAAAGTGGCAAAATCGCGGATGCAAAAACATCGTCGAGACCGCTAATTTGTAGAGCATAAATTCCGTAAGTTTTCCATCAAATTTCATACTTTTGTGTCATTATGATCGGAAAAAATTCTCGATCTTTTCATACAAATTTTTTTTTTTTTTTTTTTTTTTTTTTTTTGAAACTTTTGGCAACCCAGTGAACAAGTCTCTGAAGGGCCTGGCGACCCTAAAAGGGTTTTAACAGTTTTGAGCATTCTACAGAGTAACTTGCACTCCAATATTTAACTCACTTAGTGAAAAACTAAGAAACCATGATAATTGATGCAGAGATGAATAAACACCACCTGATACTTACAGGTGACTTCAACATAAACCTCATCCATGACCATGACCCACAATTAACTGAATTCACTAATACTATGAGCAGCTGCTTGCTTCTACCAACTATTACAAAACCTACAAGAATCTCCGAGACAAATGCCACTTTACTTGACCATATTCAAGTTCAAATTCAAATATTTATTTCCTTGTAAAGCTTACAATGTGTGGTTTACAAGTTATAAGATTTTAATTACAATGATGGCCACTATCATGCCTAGGCACTTTGGGCAGACTAATACTAATTCTTATTCTACATTGATATACAGTAGACCATCATTTAGCCCGAGTTTATTTGGCACGATTTGGATATTGCATGATTGAAGAATTGCAGCACAATTTTTTGGAACACATCGTATAATTAATTTAACATGGTTCAGTTTGTGGGAAGGAAAAAAAAATTCTGTCTTGCTCAAGCGGCCGCCTTGTTATGGAGCAGCCGGGGAGCCCTCCCGCCATCCCCTACCACTGTCCAACACCACACCACCATCCCAGCCTTTATTATTCATACGTGTCCAGTCCAGTCTTTTTCTGCTACAAGGCAGCTGTGTTTGTGAATTGTGTTATTTTTATTTATTTATTTATTTATGTTTTTGCATATAGTACATTGAGATTTTGTATTTACAATAATGGGTTGCAATGCAAAGAGAGCCTCTATTATGCCTAGGGATTATGGGCCAACTTAACATTATTGGCTTACAAACTACTTAACACTAAGAATTATGTCATAGCTGTACAGTAGAATATTAATTATATCATAGTTGTACAGTAGATTATTAATTGTATAAGTGAATCTAATTTATATAAGACAAAAGATGTATTCATATATTCAGAAAATGTTTTTGTGAAAACAAAGATTCAAAAATGCTTTTGTGAAAACAATGATTCAATTATATTCCTGTCAACAATGGATGAAAGGTTCAAAGTAATTGTTAAAATTATGATGTGGGAATAACATAAGGGAGTATGTGTGTACTGAGTATTTAACATTTAGTCTAGGGTGATTAAGTGGCTTTTGAGAAGAGTCTTAAATTGATTTTCAGACCGGGTTACTTTAGTGTCTTCTGGTAATGAATTCCAAATTTTGGGGCCCTTTATGTGCATAGAGTTTTTACACAGTGTGATATAGACATGAGGTATATCAAAAAGAAATCTGTGTCTTGTGTTATGGTCATGTGTCCTGCTAAGGTTGGTGAGGAGAAGTTTGAGTGGAGGGTTTATATTTGCGTGTATTGTTCTGTGTATGTAATAGGCACATGAATAAGTATAGATGTTCTTAATGGTGAGCAGATTCAGACTTTTGAAAATTAGTGGAGTATGCTGGCAGGAGTGGGAATTTATCATTCTCACTGCTGCCTTTTGCTGGGTTATTAGAGGTGATTGAATGTTGTTGATCCCCTTGCACAAATTCCGTAGGTGAGGTAAGGGTAAATGAGTGAATGGTACAGTGCCAGGAGAGCTGATTGTGGAATGTAGTACCTTATCTTTGATAGTATACCTGCAGTCTTAGAGATTTTCTTGGTGATTTGTTGTATGTGTGTCTGGAACTTAAGGCTACTGTCAAGGTGGATACCTAGGAATTTTCCCTCTGTAAGTATTGTGACTGATGATCTGTTTAGCGTTATGTTAATTGGATGATTTGCAGCTTTGTTTCCAAACTGAATGAAATATGTTTTATCTGTATTCAGGGTAAGTTTATTGGTCATCATCCAGGCAGATATTTTTTGCAATTGCATTGACAGTGTTTGCTAGTATGACTGGGTTTGGATGGGAGAAGACGTATGTTGTGTCATCTGCAAATAATATGGGTTTGAGTAGCTGTGATGCATTCGGTAGATCTTTGATGTAGATGAGAAAGTGGAATGGTCCAAGGACACTTCCTTGCAGGACTCCTACTGTGATTGGTTGGGTGGAAGAGTTTGCACCATTTGCATACACATATTGAGTTCTGTTACTAAGGTATGACTTTAGGTAGTTTAGAGAGTGGCCTCTGATACCATAGTGCGTTAATTTAGAGTACAGCAGTTCATGGTCAACTGTATCAAAAGCTTTACGTAAATCAGTGAAAATGCCCAGCGGGACTACTTTCTTTTCTAGTGCGGTATATATTAGTTCTAGCATGTGTATGATAGCATCATTTGTGCCTTTATTATTCCTGAATCTGAACTGACAAGGTTTTAATATGTTGTGTGAGATGAGGTAGGAATAGATCCGTCTATGAATTAATTTTTCAAAGATTTTAGAGAGCAGTGGTAAGTTAGATATTGGTCTATAGTTATTCAAGTCAGCTTGGTCACCTCCTTAATGGATTGGAGTGACCCTCGCTTGAGGATTGTTGGGAAGGATTTGTTAAAGAGTGTTGCAATAATTGGTGACAATACTTGAGAAGCTTTTTTGTACATAAAAGCAGGCAAGTTGTTTATGTCTCCTGCCTTGTTTTTAAGGGTGTTGATGATGAGCGAGACTCCTAGTGGGTTGGTTGGAACTAGGAATAGCATATTTGGGTAGGTACCTATGAGGTAGGCTGATGGTCAGGTGTTTGAGCTTGGTATTTTGTTCGCTAGATTTTTTCCTATGGTGGAGAAGAAAACATTGAGTCTGCTGTTTCAGTTGGTGTGAGTAGGGGTTCGTCTGATTTCAGATCAAGCAGGAGAAAGCTGGTAGGCCCACATGTGAGAGGATGGGTCTGTGTAGTCCGTGTGCACCATATAAAAAAATCCTGCAACACGCGGTGCATAATGAGAAAAAAAAACTTCGACCGTTTTTTTTTTTTGGGGGGGGGGATTAAAATGCCGACTTTGTAGTGTATTTTCCTATAGTATTTATGGTTGTATTCTCATTTTCTTGGTCTCGTTTGATAGAATGGAAAACATATTATAGAAATAGAGGTGATTTTGATTGGTTTTAGTATAAAAAGAACCTTGGAATGGAGCTCAAATTAGGGGAAATGTTTGATTTTTGCCGATGTTAAAATGTAAACAAATGGTGTCATTGTCCAATAACTGTCCAACTAGCCATTGTAATATGCAGTTATGAATGAGTTGACATTATTTATATAATTATTACAATATTACAGTAGTCTGCATAACAGTAAATCTTCTGTTTTTTGCTTGAATAAAAATTCAAAATAGAAAGCAAGAGTAATATCAGAGGGGCCTGGAGATGTGACTGATGAACAAAGAAAATGTTATTTTAGATCAAGGAATGTCTGCATTCTTCATTCTGGACCCTATTTTGAAATTGTCATATTTTTTAATTTGCATGAA